ATTAATTTTTCATTGAATACAGCGAATTAAAAAAAAATTCATATTGCAAAATTTTATTTATTTAACATTTTAGTGGGGCACTTAAAATCTTTTGAGTTCATGCATGGTTTGTTTATACTTGACGAGAAAAATCTGAATAATGACGAGGGTCACACCAAATGGCTTGGCGGACCGGGTTGTTGCACACCCTGGTTTACGACACCTCAATTTGACTCTACTCTATAGTACTTGTGGCGGCGTACTTAGTCAAGAATGAGTTACACTGATCTAAATTATCGCACTCAAAAATGGCATAAAATTTGCTGTAACGTTTAGTTTATATTTTTTCCTCTAAATATTATAAGACATCTTGCACATAAAAAATCGTAAATCAATAGTAAGATGATGTATCAGTATGTATCTACTTTGAATAGTGCCCTAAGATTTCGACGATAAATTTCGACTAGACACATACGTTGAGAAGGATTGGAAAAGACTACCCAACTTTTAAAAATTTTCTTTTCAAAAGTCTAATTGAGTATTTCAATTAGAATAGCTATAGTATTCAATATTCTGGTATTTGAATCGTGAGTTTTTTCTGAAAATAGAACCGAAGAAGTAAACAATTCACTAAAAGCAAAATACACCGAATGTTAACAAGCAAATTTAATATAGCTACCTGAATGCCCTTTTTTCTTTTTCCGTTTTTTAGAATGTAGTGCTCCCATCTTTATTCCTTTTGTCGAGTGATAGTTGATGCGTTACAAATTTTGGTTCACTAATTAATGCTATTATTAATTACAAACTAGAGAAATAATATATATACAGTTCTGTTCTGTAACATCCAGCAAGTTTACCATCAAAACATCTGTGCTGAGAGTTTTTTCATGGTAGTTTTGCGTTATGAAATTCCTTTTAACCAAGCTGTCTCTCGGATAATAATGACTTGGATAGCTTCAAGTCTCGCGTCAACTCGATATATACTAAACTTTTTTCCCTAAGGATAAACTTCTCTACGACTTTTCTGCTAACAAACATCCTTTGGTACTACTGGTGATGTCTAGATTACAGCGGGCATGAATTAAAATATTCTAGGCGAGATTCAAGCACAACCGACCGACAGTGAAATGGCAATCTCGGCATTAACACGGTTCATCATCTAATTTAGAATAAGAATATGACGACACAATCTCATTGAATAAATCTATTTTGGCGACACATTTAGCTCGAAACGGTCTTTGAATAGGAAGACGAATTTGACAGTTGCATTGATTTTTCCGTCTTGACTGACTGATCTAAATTAATTGGATTATAATGCCAAAATGGCCTTATGTCAAAATGCGAAAAGTTCTTCAGACGCCAACAAATGACCTTTTGATCTCCATTTCGAACCGATTTAATGAGAGCCATTGGGTCAGGCCAAGTGTTGTCTAATTCTAAAACATACTCCGATATTCGCAAGAATGGAATAACTTTCGAATCCATGTTCAGATGTTTCTTTAGAATTTGCAAGTTGAAAAATATCACAATGCGATTGCTATAAACAAATTCTATTTTTTATCAGCTCTTTGAGAAAATAACATGGTTTTTGTCTCGTCATACGTAAAAAAGTTCTTGTTAATCAAAGCAGATGAAGGCATATTCGGGAAAACTGACGCAACAACTAAATTACGGCTCCAAGTTCTCGCAAGTATAATCTCCACCTTAGCGACACTTTTCAGATTTACGGTAGCATACATCGATCCGACTTTAATATCGCCCGAAAAAATCGATAACCACAACGGTCCCGTGAAAGTGCAGAAGAGTTCATTTAATATTCCTTGTAATTTCTTTATATTCTTTTTTCTAATTCAAGTAATAATGTAGGCAATATAACGGACTTCTCTAAACGAACTTTCTGCCCTTTCCCACCAGGAAAGCCATCAGTTCAGCCGATATGCTGGCAACTGGCAACAAGCTGTCATTCACTTGCTGTACTCGTATCTTTATTTCCCAATTGTAGAAATCTTTTCCTGATATATATATACTATTTGAACATTGGCGCGGACAAATGTGACTTTGATTTATTTGTCTACTTGAACTTCATGATATTCCAACAGCCTGACCAATAATTTTTACGGTAACTCTCAGCATTTGAGTTTCAAAATCTTTCGCTATCCTTTCATTGAATTTGTATTCTCTCAATATATAGTAATTTGTAAATCCAATTTGAAAACAATAAATTCCAATTAGGTCGCCATGACCCAGAATTGAATCAAGGAATTTAACCCAACACAAAACAAATATGATATTAACCTCAAATCGAGTACTTCATATTTGAAAAAATGTGTTTTATAATCTTTGACACCTATGAAATAGTCTAAAATTAATACGCGGATATACCCCACAGCATACAGTTTAAAAATTCTCGACTTTTTCCAAAGTCACGTACATAAACAATTCAAATTAAATGCCGTATAAAAGTGTTCTTGACATATCAATCTTTTCCTGCAAGTCTTTTCCATGCCTAATCGAAACTAAACTATTATCGCAGATGTAAGAAACTGACCCGTATCCCTTGAGGTTTTTATGTACAAGGCTACACACAACAAGCAATGTAACAAAACGACTAATATACGTTTAATTATATCCAGAATCATTGTCTCCACACAATGGCGGTTTGTCTCAGCTAAGTTAGTGCAGTTCAGCAATTGTCAAATCAACCCATGGCTGGCATATGGAATCTAAGTTGTCTTTCATTAAGCAGAAGAACTCGTTCATTTTAACGCTGTATATTAGGCTAATTAAACGCATTGTTCGGACTCTGCAAATTCCGATAATAGTGTTACAGAGCGATCCCATGGGTAATTTAACCGCAATTTTCTTCTGGTTGCGTAATTTTGCATCACTGACAGCTTGAAAAGAAGCCTACATCGCTTTAACGAATGGTAATCTGTAAGGAACACTCTGACTGAGATCAATAGTAAATGAAATTAACAAAATCTCATTAATGTTAAATCCTTTCTGAATTGAATTACCTTAGGAAACGACGCTTCGATCCATGTAATAAAAATACCTTTACTTGTATGATTTTCACTTGATGGACGGTGATACCACACTTTTAATTCTTAACGTAACAAAAATTGTATTTATATACCCAGAAAGTGGCTCATATGACGTTGCAGATGATCAATCAAATTCATATCACCTTTTTATAAGTTATAGTTTTATCACCAATAACAAAATATTTACTTACATTTGGAAATACCGCCCTCAAAACGAAAAGCTGGGGAACATACAGCTGAAACCGATACAGACATTAGTTTGGGCAAGCAATTTACATTATTTTTTTTGTGTCGGAGAAACTGTGGGTGATAGAAAATCTATTTCCTTTCCGAATCCAAATTTTTCAATGTTCCACTGCATGGGATATGCCATCCCTGCTCGACTTCATTTTTTGAAAAGCGCCGTCATTTGTTGTTCATTCCAATCTGTGTATACTTCTAAACTGATATAGCGTGTACACACTAATTCACTTCTAATGATGACAAATTCAGAAAATAATGAGAGGCAATAATAATTGCTCATTAACCTACAATCGGTATTAATATCGATTTGCTTACTGGAGCAAACATATTTCAGTGTCAATTTTGTAGATGTTATTTTGCATGATTCTTGAATATAATTTCCGTGGTCTCTTTCCTCAAAATAAATCTTATTCTTTGACTTCGAACCATATGTTTTTACCCCCACCCCCCAAAAAGATTTTGCGGTTGCTTTCTTGAAAAGCTCAGATTTCGCGACATTTGAACGCGTACGTTTTTTTTTTCAACACTATTTTGTTCGGTTCGTGAACGATCCACTGATAACCCGACGATTTCGCTGGACAAGACGATGTTCAATTTTTGGAAACACCCTGGATGTTTGGCACGGTTGCCTCGCCGTGACAAAAACTACAAGCTCGGAGTAGGGGCAGGAGTCGAAATGTTTTTAAATCTGGTATATATATTTTTTCTTCGGGGCAAGTTTTTCCATGACTGATTTTCGAATTGACATCCCCGCCATAGGTAGGCATGGATTTTGGCACGTTTAAGTGAGTGAACACGTACCAGTTCTTTTTGGAAAAAACCTTACTTAATGTTTTGCTGGCTCTCCGATTGTATAATCAGTTTTTACACATTATTATAATTAGTTTTTAGACATTATTTTACGGTCTGCTATGCCGATTATGGAGTGAAAATAAACTTATTATTATAAAACGATACTATAGTTCGGCAAACATGCCATGAAATTGGTGTGTCCTTTCAGCAATGACGGACTTCAGGGTATTCCCGGGAAACCGTTTTTGTTTTAGACCAGGGGTCTCCAACACGCGGCCCGCAAAGCAATTTTTTGCGGCCCGCGTCATGGTTGAGATTTTTCCACAAAAAAAAAATAGCACGATGTCAACTATGAGTAAGTTTTATCGTGTTATTTTTTAACATCAAGAGTCCTGTCCGACAAACTTTAAAAGGGTAATTTCCTTCTGTTATGCCACTTTACCACGTTCATATTTTATTCTGTGGATGTTTCCCCGTGCACTGATTTCCTTGTTTATATTCGTAACAATCACAAATCAGCAATAAGTTAACAATAACGTAAGAATTGGAATTTATGCCCGGCTCAGACACCTCCTTTACTCAGACATATATCAAGCGCGATTGTAAACATTGTTTTGGGTCCCTCTTTTGCGTGTTACTTTTCAGTTTTTAGCTGTTTTCAAAAATAGTTGAAAATAAAATGACTAAATTATCATTGTGACTTCTGAGTACCTTTAGTTTAGTTACAATAATCCAAAATTGATACCGCAAACGCTGCGATAGACTAGCCTAAAATGCCACGTGGTTTATTGTTTTGCATAAAAATGGTGGGTTGAACATGTGAGTCAGTTTGCAAGCGATACCTCTCCAAAACACTCAAATTCAGCGTTGAATAGGGACAATCTTTCAGGGTTCAAAGACCGGTGAAACGTCTATTGTAAAAATAAAATTGTGATTCAATAATTCTATTTTTCATCTTTATTATGACGAAATAAACATGTTTCGGTCAGATCATTGAAGTCTGCAGCTATCAATCAATAATTCTGCATAAGTGCCGTTAAAGCATATAGCAATAGGACTTTTCTTAAAGAGTGTATTTTAATGGCTTGTGGAGTAACATCAGCTATTTTTTTCAACAATTAAAGTTAACAAATCAGCCTTTCGCACACTACTAACCGGAGAGCATTTGCATGCTATCTTAAGACTAACAAACCAACGCAATGCTTCATGTCTCGTTAGGTTGAAGTCAATTCAAGTGTAATTTTAACAAAAACATTTCTTTCGTTGTATCATTTTGTACCTAATTTGTTAGTTTGCGGCCCGCGACGCCAATAAAGTCCAAATAGTGGCCCGTGACCTATTTTGAGTTGGAGACCCCTGTTTTAGACGTTAGAAGACTGCAGTAAATGGGCAGCGTGCACCACGGCTGGCGACCAGCGTTGTAGGCCTACTTGACGTTTCGAAAGTTATGTATTAGATTTATGTAAAGCTTGTTAACGTATTTTATAGCTTACGTTGCGACACATTGAAAAAAGAGAGAACCAGTTTTTAAAGATTTGAATTTACCATTGCATTTCAGCAGTGGCAAAGCATTTTGAAAATAGTACTGAACACCGACCTATTATAGGTCTATTTCAGCTATACAGAGATGTAGAAGAGGGCGTTCCAGAAGTAAGTATACCAATATGGAGGTAACTAATTTTGTTTGCATACTTTACATCAAGTTGTGTAAAGGGACTGAAATCTATGGGCAGGGGATATATTTACTTGGCTAACACAGACAGTCTCCAGACTCTTAATCGAACTAAAATAAGGAAAATCGGAATGAAATTATGCCTTATCCCTAACCTCGTACACACTACGGGAGTACCCTAGCAGAAATGTGCTCGGGAACTCATGGAGTTCACAGAAATCGTTATAACCCTATCAAAATAATCTCGTAAAAGCATACGAATTGAAAGCATTTGAATACAAATGAGTATTCAACATAATAACGCATATGAGAACATTAATATATATACTCTACTAATTGTCAATATTATTAAAGAACCAGACATGCAACATGATATGTAACAATTACATGCAGTAGAAACATAACAAGTATGGGGTCAAAGTGTGGATCTGTTACCCTCCAACGAACTTTATTTACCGCCAAAAATCTTTGTATAGAACTAGGTAATGGGATCTCACAGGAAACTCAGGCAACGGGGGAATTTCAAACACTGACTTTCAAGGAGAAGTCATTATCGTATATATATATATATACCGTCACATGGTTAGAAACTTGGTAATGTTCTAGGAAATATTTCCGGTCAAGAAATTTACGGAAAAGGAATCTAATTTGTGAACAACTGAGAACTCGGTACCATTACTAATGAGAACGATGTGCCGAATGTTTAAATCGAAATATCACATATTGGAAACCCTGAAAATATTTATGAAAGTATGGTGTAAGTTTAGGTTACTTAATGACTCGAATAACAGATGACATGAGGAATTTAAGAAGGCCTTCTGGGCACATCAGCTGGAATTAGCTGAGAGGTTGCAAAAACCATTGCCTTTGTCTTTGTAACAACTAGCCTTCTGTTGTGCAATAAAGCGGTGACCGGTGAGGAAAAATTTCCAACATTGATAGCGTATGGAACAATCAGACTGGTTATTATGTTATTTCTTAGTCTCAGCCGATGATAATTTTGTATCAGATTTTGAGAGTCTTAGCGAAGCGAGTGCAGCCGACGCTGATGAAGTTGAAGTGCGAGTACTGGTTTTGAGTGATGTCATTGAAGTTGCCCCAATCTTCGAAGTACGTGAAAGTCCTTTTATACCAGATAAAAGACTGGAAGGTCGTTCAGGTAATTGCTCTGGCGGTTGAAGATCAAGAACACACCAATCTGGTAATCTCTTTTTATGCTGGAAGAAAACGCAGAATTTTTTTAAGTACACTTAGCCAAGCTACGAACTAGGCCCTTTACAAGCAGACACTGATATCCAATGTTATGTGAGGAGCTACTATTCTTTGTAAAGATCGAAACAATCCTGGTTCGGCATTTCCTACCCAATTCATCCCACCTTGGGTAAAGAAAACCATTGCAATAGTTTGAATGAAACAATTTTCTGCTTCGATCACAACTCCAAGAAATGAGTTGAAGACTACTTACCGGCTTGTTTTATAGTAAGCTATCGTATAGAGCAGTGGTTCTTAAACGGTGAAGCGCGTAGATAATTTTTTTGAGGGGTGTGATGTGTGAAGCTAATTAAAAATATTTTTGAATAAAACATACTTCCGTCTTACTATCTATTATTTGTAGCTTATTGTTAGCCAGTTATTTCTGAGGTTGGGCGCGAGATTTGATAAATTCTGGAAAGGGGGCACGGCCCAAAAAGTTTGAGAACCACTGGTACAGAGTGCAGGCTCGAGGTATCGAATCTAATAGAGTTTGACTCAAACCAACATTTATCGAAGACGATTTGAGTATCTAAATGACATGACTCAACTATCGCAAGTGAGACATAACTTGAATGCCTCGTGACTTGGAGTTTATGGCCACTCCTTACCCAACACTGTAGTCATAGTGCATTTGTGTGTTATGATATTGTTAGTGTTTAAAGTGTTATACAGTACTAATGCAGAGAAACCAAAATAACACGAATCTACTTATTATATTTCCACTGACCTGTGTGAAGTAATCTTTTGTAACAGATTTGATAGGAAAGGTATCTAGACAAGCATAGACTGAAGCACCCAGCCAGGATACTAAGTTTGGATGAACAGGAGTCTTGTGTACACGAAACTCACACTCTGAGAGCTGTAAAACAAAGTACCGAAATCATGGGGACGGGGTGCAGTATCAGAGAAAATTTGGCGCTCCAGAAGTGTGTGTACCAATATGGAGGTAACTAATTTTGTCCGCCTGTTTCACATCAAGTTGTGTGAAGGGACTACAACCTATGGACAGGTATATTAAACCTGCCTAACACAGGCAGTCCTCAAACTCGTAATAGAACTAAAATAAAGGAAAATCGGAATTAAATTACGCCAACCTTAACCTCGTACACACACTACGTTTTGTACCAGAAATTTCACATCAAACTCCAAATCCAATCTTCTGAGCCATGTAAATAAAGACTCTGGCTTCGAATTTGGGCTGACAAAAAAATTTTAAAATCGACTCTATCTGCCTACTGATTGAAATTTTCAAAGAACCATGGAAGATTTCATAAATGTCTGTTGGAAACATTCAGTTATTTAAATACTTTGTCAGAAATTTTGATTATCACCAATGGAAAACGAAAAGTCATATTCTGACTTAATAATTTTGACTCAGTAATGAGGAATTTCTGACATCAATGAAAAGGCACTACAGAAGTGTGCGTACCAATATGGAGGTAACTAATTTTGTTCGCCTACTTTACATCAAGTTGCGTGAAGGGACTGAATCCTATGGGCAGGGGGTATATTCACTTGGCTAACACACACAGTCCCCGAACTTGACTTGGCTTAAACAGACATTCCCCGAACTCGTAATAGAACCAGAGAAAATCGAAATAAAGTTATGGCGTAAACTTAACCTGGTACATACACTACGAGAGTACCAATAAAAACATGCCAAAGTCTTGACGCCACAGCTCTGGTTGAAAAGAAGAGCATTGTATCCGATTCCTATTGGTACAATATATACAAGTTATTACCTGCTGATATCTATCTTCTTCTGCAACTAAATCACGAAGTTCTGATAAAAGTCTATGGAGAAAACCAGGAAGCATGGAGGTTCCACCTTAAACAGAAAAAGTGTACTGACTGGTACTTGATAATATGTAATCATAATTCAGAAAATGGGGGAATGCCAAAACACAAAAGTGGTGTCCATAAAGTTACAATTTCAATTTTGTTATGAAGTCAGTTCTCTATATACCTCAACCAAGTTTGTTGTTTTTTGATCAGTAATTCTTTAAGTATATTTATTTCATTTGATACATCTGTTAGGGCCAAAACAATATATGGGCATAGTTGGCACCCCAACTCGTTTGAGTATGGTATGGAGATATTTAGAATTCATTAAAACAATCTTTTAAAACTTTCATGATCCAAGCCCTTTTCACAAAGACTCTCAACACTTGTGCCCCTCCGCTGTTTTATAAAAATACCTAGTTTTGATACCTAGACATTCCCATCAGTTCCTTTATGTGCCATTTAAATATGTGTAGTCATCACAAATGGTTTAGAGCGAACATTTGCTTGCAGGCTGGGGCTCCCAGAGAAACGGTCCGTAACCTCCTAGTCAAGCTTGAGAAATTCAGCTATAGTCTCTATTTCAGTTACATATGTGTAGTCATCGCAAATGGTAAAGCGCGAACATTTGCTTGTGGGATGTGGCTCCCTAATCCCCTAGGTGGAATTTGAGAAACTCTGCTATAGTCCCTAGTTCAGTTACAAATGCAGCTACTAATCTTATAGTCGCCCTAACAGACAAGTAGGATAGGATTTACATATTTAACCCAAGGAAGAAAAAAACGCTAAGACGGCTTAATCAATGGCGGACCACGGCCTCTCATCGGGTTACCAGTCAATGTCAGGTATGGGATTAGTTAGCCATTTTTTTTCTCTCAGATGCATGGACTTGACAGTGGGAGAAGCGGTCACCGACCAGTGGTAACGTGAACCACCCTACGGCAGTGTACAGCAATCCTCTCGTACATAATTATCTCCCACACAATTCAAACCTGCGAGCCCACGCAGGATAATCAGAGGTGAAGAGTGAAGACCCAACAATAATACAAAAATAGGGAATATAAAGAAATAAATACCTGATACAATGAGATTTTTTGCCAATTCCTTTCTTGAATCGAGTGGGCATTTCAATATAGAATCAAGAACAATTGTTGCTACAGATAGACGATCGTTATCCTGAAAATATCACGTAAAATTCACATATTTTATTGGACATTCACACTTGGAACAAGTCTCTGGATAAATAGCTACAGGTGTGTTGACAGCTGCGGTAGGGCACATTTCAGACCCAGCACGCACTAACCTTTTGACGATGGCCTTTCGAGTGCAAATAACTCTCAATGGACATACCAACAATATAGATATAAATTTTTATTCAACCATTTTATAAACTTTTTTATTGTTTCAAATTTCAAGACTATCTTCTATCTTATCACTAAATTTATTTTTTGGTTTTCATACGTCTTCTTTTACTTTCCAATAAAAATTAAAAAATCATATTTACATTTTATGAGCCTGTTTCTACTTTTGGTGTCATTGCTTGTGAAAAAATGGAGTGCCTAATATCTCATCCCACAAAAGCTATTATGTTTTAAATGAGAAATTTCCCTACCAAATCTATAACACCATGACAGTGAGTGAATCATCAGGAATCTGATAGTTAGGCTATTCAATAATTGATTTCAATCAAAAAGCCACTGCGTTTTTCTGATTGAGTGCTGCGGATGAATATCGGTATTCATTGCGGTCAAAAAAGGCAATTTAAAATCTTATTGTCTTTTGCAACAACATACAAGTGTGAGGCAGAATTTTCAACTCTTACTAATATGATGACAAAATACAGGTTGAGATTTTGGGGTCCGTCAGAAATATGATTAACAAACAGGGGTCCGCTGCCCAAAAAGTTTAGGGAAACTCTGAGCTAGATCATAAAGTTTTCTTTGACTTTGAAAAATTATACGGTCTAATATTGTGAAAATTAAAGACCCAAGTCATAGAATTACAAATGGAGTGGATATCACATATTTGAAATGGTATAACGTTATGATGAACTCAATGTAATATAATCCAATAAGCAACAACATATGATTTTTGTATCTGATTAGAGCCTAACTCGAAGTGGCAACGTTGAAAATGTTAGGATTAACTGTGTTGGCAGAGACTAATATTCAATGGACACACAATGCCGAACCAAAATGATTCCAGTCACTCAATGCTGAACCAGAAAGTCACTCAAAAAATAGTGAAATATCGGCTTGTACAAGGCTTTGTTCAAAGTGTGAAAGAGTGTCGTATATAAGAAATACCATGTAAAGAAAATCGTAGAAAGCTACATCAATTCTGTATCAGCTGTAATTACGTTGTATATAGGTTAGACAAACCTGTTCAAACAAGACTTCTGCTGCCTCCTCTCTCACTATTCCTGGAATCATCAGCAATTTTCGACCCCCCATAGGATAAACCATGTCAGGTGGTGGACTTGGTCTTTTCTCGGTTGTCGCAGCCCCCTCCCCTTCTTGACTAGCTGCAGCCGTCCATTGGGCAAGTCTGTGCGCTTGAATCTGCTTTGCTCGTTCGTATCCAGCAACAAAACACGATTTGACCTGTCACAGAAAATAAAGCATATAAGTAAAAAAGAAAACTAATACCAAGCCCAATGTTTAAATCAGCGGTTCCCAAAGTGGGCAAAAACGCCCTCTTGTGGGCGTTTGACATAACTTGGGATGCCCTGATGGCGATTTGGGCAATTGAGGGGCGCTGGCTGTTAAACTGGGTAATTGGGGGGCGCTGAAATCAAAGCGGGAACTCACAAGAGGTACGATATTTTATGCCATTTACTCCTGTTTTGGTTCAAACTAGTTTACTTGTGATTTCGGCGTTCGAAATATCTCGCTTAATGTAGAATAGATAATGACTTTTCAAATCCATATTGTTTCACAATAATACATAGCGCATTATGAGATACGCTTCCTTCACTATACCATGCACTGCACCTTTCGTGTACTGTTTTGAATATTACCCTCATTTCACTATCAGGTTTTATGGTACTTTGAAGCGGTATTGTTAGGTACAACACCCTTATGTTATAAGTTTAGTTTTGTTGAAAGCAAAATGTGAGAGCTAGACATCTGATTGAACTGACTTACTCCAGATGGGACCATCTCCATTGCGACTTGCGTTGCGACTTAACTAGTTCATTTTTATTTTATGGGTCATTGAATAATAAGGCTACATCAGTAATACATAAATTGGCAGAAGGAAAAGATTTAGCCTGTTGTTATATCACGTTGTGCCTGACATTGTTTAATGTCGGTTTGTCATTTGTGTTGCGTAAGTTAAAAATATCCGAATACAGTGACTTAAGCAGCATATTTAACCGATTTATATTAGAAACAGTATTATACAGCGTGATCCCCAAAAAACGAGACCATCAATTGCTCGATTACTTACTTATACGGAATTGGAATTAATTATTTAATTTTGTCTACACTTGAACTTCTATTTGCGTATGTATTCCCAAAAGTGTCGGAAAATGTACGACATTTTGCACAAAAATTATGTTGTTCCTAGAATATGTTCCAAATGCCCTCCTCGACAACTGCATTCTTTTTGCAACATTGTCAATCATCCTCTTTGGGTACCGTATTTATTCGATTATAACGCGCAAAATTTTGAACTGAATTTTAGGCAAAAATCAATGCTGCGCGTTATACACGAGGTCTGAGAAATGCGGTATTGAAAATGTGGTTTTAAACATCTGAAACGTGCGTGCGCTCGCGCATGCACATTCCAATGCAGGACGATTTCGTGCAAGCACACGCACCTGCGACAGCTCAGCGTGCGTTTGACATTCGTGCAAGCATTCGATTTCGTGCAAGCACACGCACATGCGACAGCTCAGCATGCGTTTGACATTCCCGCTGCGTTGAGAATATTTATTTGCCATTATCGAACTGTACTGTAGATACCCATTATATATTACCCATTATCTATTATGGCAAGACAAAAACATTCTGTACCATCGTACCATAGTATGGATGGTACAGAATTTTATACCAATTTTCATTCAAAATTTACTAAAGGTGCGCGTTATACACGAGTGCGCGTTATAATTGAATAAATACGGTATTTCTCTATTTTATTTCTGCAATTGCAGCCTTGAGTTCACCAATCGTTTGAGGATTGCTCCAATACAAATTGTCCTTCGAACTCCCTACATATCAAAATCTGCAAGGTTTCAGTCCAATAACTAAGGTGCCCACTGGATGTCACTGCTGACTTCTCTTTCAAGAAACCAATCGTCTGATTTGATGTATGGGGGGTCACCTCGTCACGTTTGAACCACTACTGGTCGCCTTAGCAATCCTTCAAGTAATGTCCAGATTTTTCTTGGCACAAACACATAATATTCTGTATTCACCGTTTAAACTCTTTCATTTCAATGTCCTGATAGCAGAAAGTGGGTTTCAGCAGAAAACTAAGTGAGTGGTTGAAAATTTCGCGGAACTTTTGGGTATATTCATACGGGAACAGAAGTTCAAGCGCAAATAAAAGTGAATAATTTTTTTGGAGATAGTAAAGAAATTTTTGGTTTTAGTTTTCTAGATAACCCTGAATTTCTAGGAGCGAAAATGCACCACTACCATTGGGCCCATACTTTCAAACTCATGCTCAGTATTCCATCTTTTTGGGAACAGAATCAAATTGAAATATCCTCAAGAGTGAGATCGGGTTGAAAGTTTTTTTAATGGTCTTGCCAGTTTATTCTCGGTAGAGCGGTAGATTGAGGGCAGTGACCGCACTTTAACATATCAAGAGAGATTCCCTCGACAGTGTCGGACGAGGAGACTCAAGACTGTTTTTAACTAAAATGAAGCCAGATATTATTAAGATGGTGGCATTTTACTAGGCTTCACATTATACCATACTATTATATGTTTGCTAGTTTAAATGTCGTCCAAGGGGGCGCTGGCAGAAAAAAGTTTGGGGAACACTGGTTCGAATGAACAGTATTCACTTCAACCAAGGCTCATTACAATTAGCGCTTATGAATGGTCACATAAGAAGCTGCTATTTTATAGCATGGCCTACCCAATATATAACGTCCAGGGTGAGTGAGTTAATCTTCCTAACTGCGATACTTTGGAAGCTCAATAAAGCTCGATTAAACGCTTTTTTTCACTTAAAATTCACTTAAGTATCTACTAAAAGTGAGTTTGCCTGCATAGTACATTGATGTCTCATGCTTTAAATCTCATTTTAGGTAATAGAAACTTTCCACCACCCTAGGTCGTCGAGGAGTCCAGCAATCCTCTTACACATAATTATCCCCTGCGGGATAGAAACCTCCAATCAGCGCAGGGTAATCATAGGCATCACAGCAAGTGTATTCTCAATGCCTATGACAATGCTCAACCAGCAGCTCCATTGAATAAGCAATGTTATAAGTTTATCTGATCCTCATATACAAAATTCAATCTCAATTTACCTTTATATCTTCTATAACATTATGTGGAATATCTTCAGTTAATTTCACAGGTTTGCCGTTTTCTTTCTGAATCAAACCTCCAGCTTGAATCATTGTATGAATTTGTCTATGAATCGCATTACTTGCAAGCTGAAAAAGATAAAATCACAGAATGTTATTTGCATATATGTATAACCTCATAGGAGGAAAAATATCATATCAGCGTTTCCCATATTGGGACCTAAACCCCTATGAGGCCACAGAGTGATTTTCTTTGGTATTTTACTATCGTTTGTGGCTTTTTGGCCAAGGCTGATGGAAAACTGTTAGAAAGAACAGGGCCACAGATTGTCAAGAGTCTTGGACTTTGAAAGTTTGCGAACCACTGGTTCAATTATTAAAAATATATCGGGTGAAGAAATAATATGGCAACAATACAATGGTTAAAAAGTTTCACAACGGCACAAATTTGCTTCGTTACTTTCAAAGGTCAAGCTTTCTAAAAACAACTTGACATAGATGAAGATTCCTCTGTAAAAACGCACAGATTGGAAAAAGTCTTGGTTATGGTTCATAAAGTGAAATAAAATAAATAAGTAAACATAAATCATAATTACATAGAAAATAAATTTATATTATTTCAATTATATGGAAGAAAAACCTTTTTGAATAGCAAAATACAGAATAATAAACTGTTCAAAAATGGTCAAAAAGGGTTGAAGTCAAAAAAAAAAGGCTGGGGACCATTGTAATATAGTGTCAGTTTTTAGGCCTTTTGTAATAACATTTTGCACTTACAGGGGCAGCGTGCCAGGCCCATATGACAGGTGTTCCTTCGATGACAGGTAAAGCAGAAGATTCATATTCTGAACAGTCTAGCACAAGTGCTGTGTCTGCTGCAACAGTGAAACATGAGAGTAGATGGTGTGGTGCAAATAATACTGATGGAACCTGTTAAAAATTCAAGAGAGAATTGTTGAGAGTAACATATAAAAATGAACAAAAGTCAAGGGAGCAAATGACCACTGATGTATAAAAGAGAGAGGGAGAGAAAGATTTATTCTTTCGTCAACCAAAAAATAAAGTCATCAATAAAATTAAATATCTTAGCAAAAGCTAAAATTGGTGAGAGATATAACGTTGAGGGGTGAAATAATGAAAATTGATGGTTGCGATGATAGCATTACATACAATGTATATGTGTTGGACACAGGACTTGGATCATTCAAGTTAACAAGGGTTGGAAAACATAGACAGAAAAATTTATCACAGAAGAAGTCCTAGAAAAACAAACTGATTGACCAAAAGAGCACCCTAACCATGAACGAATTTAGCTTACATAGTAAATGATGCATTTTGTAAGTAATAAAAAATCAATTATACCCAAATATTAACACTTTTGGCAAATACTTTTAAATGTGTAATTGAAGAGAAAATCTGCTTAAATAAAGCATACTATACCTCAAAATTTGTAAACAGAACATCAGCAATGATTTCTCGAAATATTGTAGGATTTAGTAACGATTCACAGACGATAACACGTCTATCTTTGGGGCTGATTTGTAAATATTTGAAGTATATATGATGTAAGAAAGCTTTCAATTTTGTCCCGAGGTGTAACTTATTTATTTCTGAATTTTCTGCTATTCCTGGAATTAGTGGCTCTTCTCCAATGCCTAAAAGATATAAAAGAGAGATAATATATTAGTATGCATATACACTGCTCAAGACAAAATTATCAAGATAATAATATCACAGTACTCTAATAAAAGAAAAGAATGAAACTGAAGGGGTCAGTAAACCAGTCAAGCTAAGCAAGGTCATTTCAATGGCTGAATGGTTGGCATTAGAAAAGGTACCTACATGCCATATTTAACCAGGCACTTTAGGATAGGATAGGATTTAGATATTTAGGCAAGGAAAGTCGATAGCACGGCTGAACAATATTAGAAACCACAGACTCTCGTCCGGTTACCATACCATTCCATGTCGGGTATGGGATTAGTTGTTTATTTTCGGAAGCATGGACTTCATGGTGAAGAAAGCCATGACCGATTACGTGAACCCAGAAACCATCCTACGGCGACTGGTCGGCAAGAAGTCCAATCCTCTCGCACATAACTATCATCGCATGGGATTCGAAACTGCGAACCCACGCAGAGTAATTAGAGCCTTGCAACTTATTGCAGTATTGAAATTTATAACCACTGGGGTATAATGGATTTTTGTCCCATGAACGTTTGCTTATGTTTTGCTCTAGACATTTCCTTCTATGGACTTTATGACCAAAAGATGGTTGTGAATTTGTTCTACATTCACCCAAATAGCTGTTTAAATATATCAATTTGTGTATTCGCATAATATTATTTTTAAACAATTCGCAAAGAAAAAAGATGACTAAAGTTAGAGATTATAGGCTAACACAAATGCTGCATTTACAGATTTATGTCAGTATGTCGGCACTGCAGCACACAATCTGACAGTACCGGTACGGCAGCGTCAGAACTTGTATAAGTATATTTTGATTTTACCGCGAAAAAATCATACACAAAACACAAACAATGAACACACAGAAGATTGGCAGATTGGGAATATCGGGGAAACTGGCAAAACCTTTACAAAGGTTTAATGCATGTAAATATACATGCACAAAGCAAACAATGAACAGTGAACACAGAAGATTGGGGAAACTGGTAAAACCTTTGTAAAGGTTTAATACCTGAATACGGGATAAATATGTAAATCCTACCCTATCCCATGATACGGTACCGGTTAATATACTTGCTCAGTTGCTCTACTATTAGACTACTGTTAACTAGGGTGACCATACGTCCTCCTTTTTTGTTCAAAATTTTATGTCCTCCGAGGACGCTCTAAAACAGGGGTTGCCAAGCTTTTTTCAGGACGACCCCAAAGACAACTTTCAAGTGTCCAGTGCGACCCCAGGTCAATATATATATTTTTTATGAAACTTTAGTAGAGCACCTTTCACTGGACTTTTGAGTTTGGTCATGTGGTGGTATTAAGTAAAATAAGCTAAAACCAAAAAGTGATGTCACAATGAACACCTACATTTTCTATAGCATAAGCATAGAGTGATGCCTATGGGCCTGGCCTGTTTCACAGTAAGCCATGGTAAACACTGCTAAATTTAACATGGTTTTTCAAATCTTAGATGTTTTGTACATCCATCCTCTACCATAGCTCAGCGACCCCATGACCTGTTTGCGACCCTACCTATTTATCATCCCGACCCAATTTGGGATCGCGATTTCCGACCCCTGGTTTGGGAATCCCTGCTCTAAAAGGTCAAAATGTCCTCCTTTTTCGAGGGATTTAATATTTGAAATTCTCTTATGACATAATCTACATTTTTTGATGGGTTAAGAAAATTTCAACGTGAATAGCAACTTGTAATTATCAATTCACATATGACAAGCAATACATTGCGTTGAGATACTATATAGGCCAGTCTGGATTTCATGGCCTTTTTGACCGAGAAATCAGGCGAGCAATCAGAAATTCCTGCGTGCAAAAAGACTGCGCTCGCGTGCAACAGAATTTGACTTCAGATTGCTCAATATATCTGTGTAAAATTATTGGACAAAAAATACGTTGAAGCAGAGCAAAAATGGACGTTTGACCTTTGACCCCCTAAATTTTTTTTATATACTTTGACATTAATTTTGGGAGTGTTTTTGCGTAAAATTATTGGATAAACAATACGCTGAATCAGAGCCGTAATTGACCAGCGTCGTCAAGGAGTCTGGCGATCTTTTTGCCCATAACTAGTCTCACGGGATTCCTTCACTACGATGGGCCTTACCGCCAAGCAATTATGAAATGTGGATTTCTTGCTTCGCATATTTCGATCAGGCCAAATCTTGCAAGCTAGTATGTAGGGTGGCTTTGCGGCCAAGACCTATTTGCGACCATCAACTTCATCGATTAAATTAATGACGAAAAAAATAACGAACCGAGACGATATTTCTCACACGTTATCAGCCACTTATCCCTCGTAGCTCTGCGAAATTACACTAAAATGCGGCCACAAACAAAAAAGTTACGACCGAAAACCCGACCGAAGAAAAAAAAACGGACCATTTTTCCATGTCGCCAACTACCCATTATCCCTTTGAAAAAGCTTGAAAATCCATACAAATTTAAGAGATAAAAAGATGAAACTTGGCAGGTGGGTAGAGTTCTGTTTCTTTTAACCATCTTTGAAGTTTCGCATTTCTACATTCAAAGGAGGGGGAATAGGGGGGTGCGCATTTCCAATACGTCGATAATAGCATTGTCGACCAATTTGCGACCACCGTGTTTTTGTTCGTTTGATTGCTGTAATGCGGTGCTTTGTTTATAATTTGACGAGTTTTGTTCGAAATAACCTTGTTCTTAAAATATATGACAGTCAGAAATGCAATTAGAAGCTAATTTTTTTCCCGCATGGCTGCGTATGCCCTAGTCTTGACGCAGCAGAAATGATGTTCAAGGCTTGAAATCCGTGGTCGCACACTGGTCGTTCGGTCGCAAATAGGTCTTCAGAGTGTCGTACTTTGGTGGTTTGTATAGCTTTAACCCCTGGTCGTAGAAAGTTAATTCGAGGTTTAGCGTGTAGAAGAAATGCCCATGCACCTACTGTGAAAAAATTAACAGGTTAGAAATATTGGTTTTTGTTTTATAGCGGTTTGAATGAAATTGTCCGCAGACTGGCTACACCACCCTAGTCAACAATTGTGGAGCTACAATTTGTTGACATCATTATATTATTGTAATATTGATTTAAAAACCATTTATACTGATTTTCATTGGTGAGCAATTGCAAATTTTGGGCGTGCAAAATTGAATTCGCTCGCGCCCTCGCTCTGGATTTGGCAGACCTGCAAAAGTTAAGACTTTAAGAACCAATGCGCTCGGTTAAATGCATACTTTATCATGTAAAAATCGTTACTGCAATTAGCCTATCTTTTACGTCATATCATAAATGATTTACACCAAAATGTTTGACTCAAGTATCCATGCTAGATTTAGAAAAGATAAAACTGATAGCGAAGCGGAGTACGGTACCGGTACATTACAGTACCGGTACCGTACTTGCGGCTATACCTGGTACCGGTACCTGTAGTTGCTCGTTGACAAGACAAGAATGCATTATTGCATTGTCGTCACATCGTCTATTGTCGCTTTTATTTTTAATACTAGAGAATTTAGGTAGATATATGACGTATATATCTCAGGCACAGGTGGAATATGGTTCTACCAAACGATGTGTCCTCCTTTTAGGATTTGGAAATATGGCCACCCTACTGTTAACGTACCTTCGGTCTTTAGCGACGTGGGAATTATAGCTCTTGGAGATGACTCGCCAGCAAATCCAACTTTAGTATAAGCTTGTCCAATATCCAAAACAACGGCGAAAAGCGTCTGGTAAAGTGGCATTTTGCATAAACTGGAAAATACAAACGAAACAAACCTGCAAAACCCGAGCGACGGTACTGGAACGTGGAATGGTTTATGAGGGCGCTAACGAGCCTATTTTGGCTAAATTCAATGAACGAACAACATCTAATCAGGCTGCTGAATATCATTCAAACTACACCCAAATGCTAATAAGTCATTTTAGAATTTATTCCAAATGACAATATTAGCCAAACCAAAATTTATTGACGCAATTTTTACACCATTATTCCAATAACAGATTATGATGCAATAATGTATTTACCATTGCCTGAATTATCTTTTCGTCCCTTCCCGCTTTGCGACCTCGACCATGCGTGTGGTCGCCGCTGTAAGTTTACCGTTTGAAACTCGTGTAGTTACGATATATAGCTTCAAAACTTTGAAAAGGAAAATGTACTCAACCATATGAAAGTCTAGTGTCGCATAAGTCGGAAGAAGTGCCGGAACCCAGCCTGAAACCGCAAGCTCAAAGTACCGGTGCTGTCCGCCATTGAAATGCGTTTTCCAGGATTGTGAAGCTAGGTATACTCATGGTAAGCAATATAGTTTCATTGTATACGGCGCTTTTGAAAAACTGAAATTAAGCATGTAATCGCAAGCTTGAAGTATCTGTGCTACTCGCCTGCGTGTTTTTGAAGAATATTTTCTCAGAGAAAGTTCACGAAAACTCCCTCAACGGGCGACCACTAAAATGCCAAAATCATTTGACACTATGATTCTTTAGTTCACAGTCAACCTTTTCAAAACTTTTTCAAGATTGTACCAGCAGTTTTTCTTTTTATTAAGCGATATATTTTTATTCGATTTGTTATCGATGGTTTTAGCTGTTCATTAGGCAATGTGTTTATCTCGCACCATATAAGTAGCCTACCTAATTCAGTGGTTCCCAAACTTTTTTTTCATGACCCCATTTTTCATAAAATCAAAGACTACAGATATTCGCGACCTCACAACCAGAAACGTTCAGCAACTTTAAAAATCAGTATATTCAATTTAATTCGCTCAATGGGAACAATGTGCCTGTATATCTACTGCAAGGGTGACGTGGACGGTGGGAATATATGAAGGAGTCCGACAATGCGAGGACAAACGTGAAATCTTCAGAAGATTTAAAAACACTTGAAATCGTATGGACACCACTCTGTAAAAATCTCTCAGATTAGAACAACAACGGTTGTTTTGTGAGACATAGACAGACTTGATTAAACGTGGTAGATTGTAAGGGAGCATGCGATAGTACTTCGAAAATGGTAAAATTGGTAACCTTGAAGTACCGGTGCTATTCGCGGATGAAATTATGTTTCAGGGATCGAGTCAATAGTAATCATTACGGTCAGCAATGAATATATTTTTATTTACTATCCAAAGTGTTATTCTTCTTCTGTATACGATTCATTGTGCCAATATGTGTTTGGCACCACACAAGAAGAAGTTTAAAATTTATGCGAAAAAATCGTAAACTAATTGAAACAAATTTTCTGTAGCTGCCACATATTTACCAGTTCGCATTACGTCACGTATTCATTCATTTTAATTTTTTCATGCTGAGCCTATTTCATTGGACTTATACTGCATTTTATTTATGCTGGGCACACAAGAATAGTATAGTACCACACTTTCAAACGAAATATGCGTTTGGGAGTACATCGATAGAAAAGGAATACATAATTTTTCTTGCAAATATTAGTCAGTCCAGATATCTTACCTCGCCATGGTATCAAAATGAGAGCATAAAAAAAAAATTATGAACGTTACCACATCTTCAATGGAGATTTCAAACACGAGCTATAAAACTACCGTGTTTCCGCAAAATAAGACCTAACCTGAATTTTTAAAATAATTTTAATATAAGCCCTCCCCTTAAAATAAGCCTACCTAATTCAGTGGTTCCCAAACTTTTTTTTCATGACCTCATTTTTCATAAAATCAAAGACTACAGATATTCGCGACCTCACAACCAGAAACGTTCAGCAACTTTAAAAATCAGTATATTCAATTTAATTCGCTCAATGGGAACAATGTGCCTGTATATCTACTGCAAGGGTGGCGTGGACGGTGGGAATATATGAAGGAGTCCTACAATGCGAGGACAAACGTGAAATCTTCAGAAGATTTAAAAACACTTGAAATCGTATGAACACCACTCTGTAAGAATCTCTCAGATTAGAATAACAACGGTTGTTTTGTGAGACATAGACAGACTTGATTAAACGTGGTAGATTGTAAGGGAGCATGCGATAGTACTTCGAAAACGGTAAAATTGCTTCTGAATATACATTAATTTAAAATTTTCTTTGATATATTCCAATTGTGTCTTTTTTATAGTTTAATGTTAACATGTTACAGATTGCTCCATTATTAATTCGAAAGTAAAACAGAGAATGGAAGTAAAATAAGAGAAAACGAGTACAGAATCACATCTAGGCTCGGCGGTGTGGCGCATCGTGCTAAGCGTTAGGAATACGCTCGTCACCGCAAATCTGATTACCCTTCGTGGGCTCGCAGGTTCGAATCTCATGCGGCGATGATCATGTGCGAGAGGATTGCTGGACTCCTCGCCGCCGTAGGTTGGTTCACGTAACCGCTGGTCGGTTACGGCTTCTTCTACCATCAAGTCCATGCTTCCGAAAACAAACAAATAACTAACTAATCCCATACCCGACATGGAATGGTAACAGGACGAGAGGCCGTGGTTCGCCATATAGTTAAGCCGTCTTATCGGCTTTCCTCCCCCGCCCGGGATAAATATGTAAATCCTATCCTATTAAGTGCCTTTTAATATGCTAGAATTTCTTGTTGTTTTGTGTTTGACTGTTTGGAACGCTTCGAAATTGTGTACGGGACACTTTTATGCGGATGCGATGTGGACAAAAACACTCCTATTTGCCTAGCCTATTTTACACGCGTGCGCGAATTAACAAGCTCTTTTGCGACGGATTAAAACCTAAGTGATTACTCGGCCAAGACACCACACCGCCTGGAAATCAGTACCATACTTGTCAAACACCTAATTAAGTGCCAATGGACAAATAAAGCAGCTTTGCTTTGTATAACCAAGCGGCTACACTTGTACGAAATAACAAACCAACATAATTTCTCGCAGCCTGGCGAAAAAATCGGTTCGCGGACCAGCTGGTGGGATCACTGGTTTAGCCTGCAGTTACTCGTGAATGAAAAGATAAGGACCACGGTCAACTACTCATTCGGATGTTACATGATCAAGATAGCTGTAGAAACGAAAATACTGTTGGCGTTCGTAACACTGTACTCAATTGCATATATATACTAATATGCCTACCCGCCCGATCAGCACAAATTGTACTTTCAAATCCTAGTCAGGCGACCTACAGTTTGGGAACCACTGACCTAATTGATAATTCATTAAAAAAAATTGTAAACATGACAGCAAGTGTTTCAGTACACCAATTTCTTTCAAGGAAAACGTATTAGAAACATATTTCTATTCTTGCCTGTATAACATAATTACTAGTTTACACTACTTATGTAGTTCGTTATTTTCATTCTTTTTCCTAGGCCGGGAGGAAGAAATATACTGAATATTGTAAAAGCCTAATATGTTATACTGTTGTTTTGGAAAAAGTTGAACTGGAACTTAGCTTGAAACCTACAACCTTGAAGTACCGGTGCTCTTCGCGGATGAAATTATGTTTCAGGGATCGAGTCAATAGTAATCATTACGGTCAGCGATGAATATATATTTTTATTTACTATCCAAAGTTTTATTCTTCTGTTCATTGTGCCAATATGTGTTTGGCACCACACAAGAAGAATTTTAAAATTTATGCGAAAAAATCGAAAACTAATTGAAACAAATTTTCTGTAGCTGCCACATATTTATCAGTTCGCATTACGTCACGTATTCATTCATTTTAATATTTTCATGCTGAGCCTATTTCATTGGACTTATACTGCATTTTATTTATGCTGGGCACACAAGAATAGTATAGTACCACACTTTCAAACGAAATATGCGTTTGGGAGTACATCGATAGAAGAGGAATACATATTATTTTTTCTTGCAAATATTAGTCGGTCCAGATATCTTACCTCGCCATGGTATCAAAATGAGAGCATAAAAAAAAAATTATAAACGTTACCACATCTTCAAATGAGATTTCAAACACGAGCTATAAAACTACCGTGTTTCCGGAAAATAAGACCTAACCTGAATTTTTAAATCATTTTAATATAAGCCCTCCCCTTAAAATAAGACCTAGTCAATGGGGAGAATTTTTTTCACCCGCTCAGTAGCATGAAATCCTCCCTCCATGTTTTAAATGATTGATAATCTGTGTTTTACAGGTATTTTGATTATAAACGTGTTATTTATAAGTGAATGGATATTGGTTTTCATATTTTGTATAATTGAAAGTCTCGTAATTCTCTACTTTGTAATGTTGTTTTGATTAAGGGAAAAATAAGACATATAAGTAAGACCCAGTCTTATTTTCGGGAAAACACGGTACTACACGGGCAATCTCACCCTGTGACATAAAATACAATTGCACAAAGCACCACGAGATACTCTCTAATCGGGCCTCAGGCCTGCGAGCATTGTGCTAATACATGCCAATAACATACACACTGTAGCTGTGGAAATACAAACAATAACGTAATAAATGCAGTCACATATGAGTATGGGCATTCTAGGTCTTATATCGTCCCCACAAAAAAAATATCGCGTAAGCCGTGTATACATATTAAGCCACGCCTAAAAAAATAACAGCGAAAAGAGCCAAAATAAATATCACATAAGCCGTGTATACAATATACATATAACGCTAAACCTAATAAACAAACAGCAGGAAGAGCGGGACTAAACTAATATTTGAGTGAAGTACGAGTATACAGTTCATTCTGAACCTAAACAGCAGAATTAACCAAACCAAAACTTTACATTTTTGGTGTACACATTTTGCGCTAATCCTAAACAAAAAGAAAACGAGAATATTGGTCAGCGACCGAAGACTTATCGATCGAAAGTTAGGGGATCCCAAAACAGCGCTCTTACTCCATAGTGACACCTTGTGTCCCATCACTAATTAATTGATAACTCGCTAATTATACGACATAATTCGCCCAAAATCAATAGGCTCTTGGTCCGAGATAAGATAAATGCACATGCAAGATATGGAGCAGATTCAATCTTGATTTCGTGAGATATCGCGTGCATCTAACAGACATACAGACAGACAAATACCTATCAACATACTTACCGATTAAAATCGATAAGTGATTAATCAAACAGCAAATTAGTTGATACATCTGCACAATGGACGCTAGACATAATTTTGTTCATATTGTTCGAAACATATTGAGTGACATTATGAACAACCTTTACCACAGTTTCCACTCGGTCTACCTGCACCGCTTCTCTCCTCGGCCGACCTAGATTCAGCACATATAAAGTAAAATGTTGACGGATGAACTTGGTTGAAGGAAGCGTCGATTTACATTATTATTTGGTGCCGTACTTAACGTTATCCATCGGTAATCTACATTCAGGATATACGTGCACTCATTGATTTAATATACCTTTGCATCGCCACATATTTTTGCGGCGATTATTGAATATAGACATAGTAACGTTTTATTTATTTTTTCAGTCAGCAAAATAAAAAAACGATACAAACACAAAATTACGTGTAAATGTTGAACGCATAAATTTACTGGGGCAGGTAAACCTAAGCAGCTGGTATCATGCAGCGGCACCCAAGATTCTAATATTAATCAAGATTTAGAAGATCGGGAAATTATTATTTAATATATTTTGTGAACTGTTATTGCCGATCAAAGCGAAAAACATCCATTAGCACGCCGCGGCGCATACCTTGGAGAAAAACTCTTATTCCTGTTATTTCCGCACCACTCATTTTTAGATTTGTTTTCTTCGATTCTGTTTATGCTAGGATAGAATAAGTTATGTTAGGCATTGTTATATTTTGATATTTCGATCCTATAAAATAATTCAGTTTATAGTCCATTTATGGTTCAACTGAGGTATTTTCCATTTTTGGGATTCGCTATACAAGCTATAAAGCACACTAAGACCACGACAAAACAACATATCAATAGATATTAAAAGCGAGAGGTTATTCCACGCATGCGTACTTATCTTGATCTCATTATTTGCTATCGATTTGAAACAGTTTTGCAACTTCTTGGGATTAAATTGTTGAATAACTTTTATTGTAAAATTGGATTGTTGTTTATAATAACCCGAGTGAACCAGAGTCAACTATTTGTAAAAGCTTGCTTGAACTCCACTTTGGAATACTTTGTTTTGTGAATGCCGGAGTTTTATTTGATATAGTTAGTCATGGTATAAAAAGGCAAATTCTTTTCAAGTGCATTTCCAATTGTGTGCTATCACTAATATCGAATTAATATGAGTTCCGAAAATAACTTTGAAAATTGCTTAAGATTAAGGATACTTAGACGTAAACGCATCAATTGTGATAGAAAAGAACTTGGTTTTATCTTACCGTTTTAGGCTTGCCAATACAACGTAATCCGATTCCGTAAAGCTTGTAAAATGAATAAATATTGATGGTAAGTTCAGATTAACGGTCGTAGTGGCGATATTTATTCGAATTATTTTGTAGCTTTGTTTTCATATTGAATCCACGTTGATATAATCTATACTTGGTGGACCATCAAATTAGCCTAATATTACAAAACCACAAGTTGTCACACAAATCCCATTTATATATAGCAACCAACGCTATATAATGAGATTCGGAGAAAAGCATAATTCCTCGATTTAAGCCTTTTATACTTGATGAATTGATGTGTTCATGATAACCCAGGAGATTAAACGTATTAATTTCAATATTAACTTCATTGAGCTATTTTGTTTGTTTTGGTTACGCCCAGGGCATCTCTTGGAATCAGTTACACTGTAAACTTGAAGTGGTTTATTTTTTATTAAATTATAATTGTGATATTATCAAAATTAAATAGTAATCCTACTTTTTATTGAAATTCTTTATGCATGACTTACCGACAAACGTGGTATTTTTCATGATCCTTATAAGTTTTGATGAAGTTTCGTTTCTCAAGTTCAAATAGGATTGAACTGAGCGCATGAACTTTTACACATAACCACATCTAAGAAGGAATCTGACATAGTATAGAGATGGTAAATGCGTAGATGCTGATTTCAATTTTGTAATTTGTCAAACAATATTTTCTGTCATCTTCTACACGCATTATACTCGGCCGATCACAAGAAAGTTCTTCCTCATTCTGTCAGTGCGAATGACATCATCGTTATGCTAATTTTCCAATTTGATTCCCTGTTACGTTTTTAATCAAAACCTCAAGAAACGATATGAATACTCTTAACTCTTCTTCATTATGCTTAGTCATTGCTGTACGTGACTATGTTAACCTTTATTAAAATGTCTGGCTTCCTTTTAATGATAGCTTCAGTGATTTTATACGTACAATGTCAAGCGACCGCAATACCACAGTCATATTAACAAGATCAATTTTTCGATTGCTCACAAAGACAATTCTCTCAAATACACTTGTTCTATTCTAGGAATTTGATTTTTTGTAACTTGTGGTGTAAAATAGTTAGTTTTAATCTCTATGACCCAAGCGGATTAACTAATGAATTCTGTTAGATAAAAAATTAATAATCGTTAAGGTCGTGATCTCAAGTTGTTACGTAATTCTGTATTTTTAATGCCTTGTGTGGGCGCCAGAGGGTCCTTATATCTTATTCTTTTTAACCCCTTCGTGAACCTTCAGAGTATCTCGTATTACGTGTGTTATTTTTTTTTTGTTGAAATGTAGGAATTATAACTTATGAACTATTTGTTCTTATTGTCCAAAACACACTAAATGAAGACTCCAAAAAGGCGCCAGTTCAGAGATTTTTACCGAGCGCTATGCCCCAAACTTTTTAACAGTCTAACAAAGGTCGATTCACATTTATTTTGTTATCAAACGTGACCTGAAAATATAAATAAACAATAATATATACAAGGGCGCGGTAATCTCAAAATATGCCGTTGTAATGCCTAACCCGGACATGAAAGCTTATACAATAAATATATTATGTATGCATTTATTTATAGCCATTAGGAATGTATTTCGTGTATACCTTTCAGGTCACTCGAAATGTAAGTAGTTTTCTATTGTACTACTGCGGTTAAAAGTCGTAAGAACGCAACATGATCTTCGTGTGTCCAGTATTGGTAAAATGAAATTTAAGGGTGCCAAACCAATATAAGATTACATGCCTCATTGCATGTTATTCTGGGAGAAATTTACCTTTCGTCTTTAATAATTCATGAATTGCTTATATGATTCCTTTTGATTTGACCAAACCTATGCCTCACCACGCGGCCTGTTGGTTAAATTTTGTAATACATATGTGATTGTTTTGTATTCAAATGGGGTGACGCATCAAAATTTCGAGTCGGATATGTAGTCATCGTCTTCTTGTCGGAACCAATCGAAAAGTATTTGATGCGTTTGATCTGACTATCGCTTGCGTGTTGAGAATTTCGTAAACCCCAATTCGTTTTTGAAAATGTCACTTTTCTCATTATGCTATAAGAATCTTGTTGGGTGTTTAATAAGAATACTTTGTGGCATCCAACTATTGAGTTTATTAGATCAAAGTAGCGAGCGCGTGGGCAACTATACATTATTTTTTAAATACATGCCAACTAGAAATCTAAGGATGAGCCTGTTTTGTTCCTGGTTTTATTCTGTTGCATAAATGTAATGTATTGACTATTGATACAACTCGCCATTTTAGTTTATTTTATTCAACATGGTTTGTAAATCAAAGGTAATTCGATCACCGAGTCATTGTGTGACGCAAGTACGCTGTGTCAAATATGTTCATAACTGACGTCCAGCAATCGACGGCGTCAATCTTGTTCGTAATAAACTGCCAAGTTTATTGGAATATTCTGCCTTACGATCGATTTTAATTACCTTGAGCTTATAAGTGAGTACTTCGTCTTTTAAACGATTGTGGCTGATGTCAATTTGCCTTATGTGTCGTTACGTATACCTTGTTCAATACGACAATCTACAGCGGCGCAAAAAGCGCGTTTATTACATGGAATTGAACTTTTGTCCAATCTTCAAACACATTTTTTCTAGAATCTAGAACACTCATCTTGTTCTGAAAGAAATGTGTGCGTCGCGAGGAATGCTGACGACCATATCCCAACCGACTTGTTTATAATCTTTGTAATCAGTTGAAATATAATTAAATGAATGAAATTTCATATTTGAGGCGTTGTTAGATTCGTGCAATTTAGATAATCATTATTTTGAAACAGTTGACAATATGAAAATTTTTCTAACAGCGTGACACCATTAATAGATTTAATTCAGTAAAAGAAAAGTTTATGTTATTGTCGAATGCTAGAATAAATTAATGCAAATTAGTTGATGAAATGACCAGTTGCACGTATAGGAAATTCGAAGCTCTCGTAGTATGTGAACCAAGATGGCGGACACCGGAACGTAGTATGTGTACCAGGTTAGGGTTAGGCCACAATTTTATTTCGATTTCCCTTATTCCCTAGCCAAGTGACTCCCGTAGTATTTGTACCTAAAATTATGGCCTAACCCTAACTTGGTACACATACTACGTTCCGGTGTCCGTCATATTGGTGCACATACTACGGTAGTACCGGAAATTGAGGATGAAATGCCTCGAATATGTTATGGTAAATCGATAACTAAAATGATCCGAAATAATGTACATTTTGTTTTGTTTAAAATAAAGAAAGTCATTGTTTCAGAACTTTCACTTGGACGCGATTAATTCGCCACAAACTGCATATACCCTGTTATATGTAGCTTATACGGCCCCGATTTCACATTTCAATGATTAGTATAATAGCCCTATTCTACCCTGTTTTTACCCTTCAGATTAACTTTTGAACTTACTCTGCGGTAATTCACGAATGCAAAACAGTATTTGATTAAACGAAGCTTTTATTATTCTGTAATAAATAACAATAATAATAACAATTTGAACGTAGCACGTCACAATTTAATATAATAATAAATACTAACAACTCGTGAAGAACTTTACAGAACTACAAAATATATTAAACTAAAGCTTCTGACTTTAGTTATTACAATAAAGCTGCAGCAGCACAATAGGCAACATAATGTGTATAAATAAATAAATAAGTGACGAAACAATGATCACAATTGTGACGAAACAGTGGTGCGTCACAATAAATATGAGAAAGAATGAAAAGTACGAAAGTTTAAAAAATAAATAAAATAGAGTATTTTTGAAAAATAGCGCATTTTGTCTCAGATATTGTAGCAAATGTTCGGAATATATTTTCATAATTTAAAACAATTCGGTTAATTAATTGATTGAGCTAACGTTTGTTTATCTTTGGCGTTACATAAGTTATGTGTTTCGATTATGCGGACTATAAAATATTGTGATCTAGTGAAAAAACTTAAATAATGCGTGCAAGATATGTTATTGTGATGTGACTCATACTATGCAGGAGCAGGTTTGTTCCAGTAAAAAAAAGGAGGTGACATTTTCGTTGAACTGTAAGGAATGATAAGCCAGACTTCCGACGCAATTCTCTGATTACATGTTTGTATACTTTCCCGCAATACGCACAGGAAGGAGTTGTTGACATTTAATTGGGAGTTATGAAAAGCCGAAAGAGGCCAATTCTCGGGCTCTGTGATATTATTAGCATGTGCATAAAAATAAACACTGTTTCCTAAATTAGAACCAATCGTAAGGCGGTCAAAATGATATATTGGGTCACAATCTAGTAAAAAGCCATCAATTTTCTGTGTTTTGATTTTATCATATCAATCAATTGACTGCCTGGTGGCGCCACCATGTCCCGAGTCCACCTTTTCCGACAACGCTTCCTCAACAACGATAGTAGCAGACAACACCGAAATGACGTTGCGTCATTTACGTAACAACATCTACTGGTCACGCATGACCATCTTTGTGATGACGCTGCTTATATTTTCTTGAACTTGGGAAGGCATAGTTCGGGTCTAGCTTCGTCGCCTGGTGTGAATTTTGAGACGGGATTTCCATCACGGTCGACGCACCAACAACGACCGCGTTCAAGTCCATATGATAATTCGCACTGTAATAAAGGAAACATGTATAAATATTTTATGAAAATCACGTCTTTTTTCGTACCTTCTTGCTTGGAATTTTATTTATCATTTGTTGTATACATGTAATGTCTAATGGTTTACGATATAACTAAATGGACAACTAAACAAACGGATTGGTATTCAAATCTACAAATGAAAACAGACAAATTAACAAACCTGTTCTGGGAAATAATGTCCGTCTTTTTCGCAACTTGGAATCCACTCATGGGGATCAAAGTGGAGTTTTCCCCAAACTTTTTCTGCGTGATAAATGCATGGTTCCTGTAGACAAAAATAAACGTGATTTAGAATTTTGTCACTTTCAGTAAATACAAAATAAACTAAAAGTTTTTACACTTTTTGCCTTGTCAGGTCAAGGATTAGAAATTCACAATTATAGGCCAACTTATTCATGCTCGAGATTCCTACACGTTTGTCCGTCTGTTTGTAATTAAATTCTTGATTACCAGCTTTGAAAATTGAAGGAATTCTTCCTCATTAACAATAAATCATGTTACGACTTCAGTTTCATTTCGGAGTATCTTGTTCGATAATGTTAGATATTTCTTTTAATGATAGGAGTTAGAGGATATGCGTGTCGATAGTTGTACACCATATGGTAACATAGCGTGTGTGTTCTTGGAAATTTCATTAAAAGTTTGCTAACACGTGGTTTGCTGTTAAATTTTGCCGTAATCGCAATATTTCGAAGATAATAAAGGAATTTGATTTTTGCCTCGCATAATTATAGCATAAACCGTTATTAATTATCTCTACTAGATTATCATAAATTTGAATTATGGGTAATACAGAAGTATTGTATCCGCCACCGGCCGCTGCCAATGAAATATTGACGTCATTTTGCCTGTTCTCATTCGAAGAATTTTAATTTTTGTGTATGTTTGGGAAACATCTCAATTTTTTACAGATGGCGTAGAAATTCAAAGTAAAAAATCCAAATTGTCCGCGAGAAATACTAAGAAATCTGTAAGACGACGCGTTTTTTGGTTTAAAAGCGATTTTAGGCGATTCAGACGTACGGAATCCAGGTTTTTAGAAATTTGAAAGAAGTAGATCGCATTTGCGATAAATTTGTCAGTTTGGACATCGATAAGAAATGACATAAGCCAATTTCCTGGCAATAATATTATTCACAATCTACCGATGGTATCGCAGCCACGTTTCGATATTTGAGACTACAATAAGCGTTTCATTCGTTATCAATGCTTCATTCATTATTTAAATCCAGAAAATTTCTCGATACAAAAAAATCAAAAAATGGCGTAGGGATGGACACGAAGCGTCGAGACTTTTCTCGCCCGTAGTTTTGTGAGATATTCAGCGCAATAATTCGGGTTTGTAATTGGGATTTATTTTAACGTCACCTTTCCGCCTGTGTGATCGGAAGTCAAATAAGTCGCGTTCAAGTTTCACACTTTCATACAATTACAACGTCATTGATGCCAGATTACAGATCAAACCCCATGTCGGGTCAAGTGTTTCCTGGCCTTTATCGGAGATTTATCTTTTAATTGCGGCAAATCATTTTAATAATTACCTCACGTCTGAAATGTATAATGTGACAACAGTCAGCCTGTCTTACGACAAATTTAAGAATTGGTGCCGCGACTTTTACGACCGATGCTCGACTATCAAATTTTAATCCACCCATTATAAAAAGACAATTATTAATCGATTGTGATTTTTGAAATGCGGTTGGCATGTTAGGTCGTGTTAATCAGTCAGTCGTGTGCGCATACTCGGAATTTAGATAACTTTTGAAATCGCGAATTGCTAATGAAATCAAATCTTCTTGTTGGATGCGGTTACTTTTCGACTACAAATCTTATTTTTGCTTTCCAAATTACTGGGTTTCAATTCTTACCATATTATTAATTACAAGATAGGCACGAGTTCCATGTCTAAAATCTGTTTTGCAAGTTGAAAAATTCCGAATAAAAATATGTTTTTGAATTTTCTTGTGGATTTTGTGTCGCAAATAACTCAATAATTATATACCCTTTGCACGAAACTTAAAGTTTTAGTTCGAAACACTTAACTTAATTTCTATTGTCAGTTTTACGCATTCAGTTTTAAATTCACTTACCGGTGCATTTTGGAATGGAGCTGTTGGGGGTTCGACTGGTCTGGTTGACTGTGTCACTGGTTCTCTGTTAAATACAAAATAAAATTTCAATGAAGGCAACTATTGTCTTGAAATATATATTAATATAAACAAGGATGGGAGTCTCTGATTCATATTTTATTCGTTATTAGCTCTATTGCAATCACCCCAAAGAAAATAATTCTATATATATTTAAGTACCTACATTTTTGGAATGAACGGATTAAGATGGCTCATATCTTCAGTTGGCTTTTCTGGCTGTTCACTGAAAAGGAAAATAATAAGACTTGGTTACCTTCGTGCGTCAAATGAGATGAAATAACCTATTATAACTTATTTTAACTTACTTGTCTGGAACTTCGACTGTGTGAACGGTGTTGTCTTCAAGACCCATGCCTGCAAAAAATATACGAAATTTAAAAATTGAATATCGGAGACTTCCCAACACTGCGATTTTGACGTTTCACCTATAATCGTTGGAACTTTCAGAACGTGCCACTAGATCACGTTCGTGGCCAAATTTAGGTTAAAACTAATTTTAGTCACATTAGCGAAATCGAGTATAATATAATTGTGTATATTTTTCGGTATGTTATGCTTCGAAATAGAAGAACAAATTTTCTATATTAGAAATGAACAAACGTCGAAATGGATTAAAAATAGTTTAGAAATGAAACATATTAAGTCGACTCATTTAGACACACGTTTTAACGCGTCGTGCGTATTAACCGAACGATTCGGAATATTCTTACAAAATTGAATTCTCACCGTGACTAATGTCCGAAGGAAGTTTCCGCCGCGTCATGTGACTCATTATCAGTTAATTTGTCCGGTGTGATTTGAGAGTTAAATTGTGTAATTTCAAAATTTGGCTCAAAATCCCCTTGGCAAGGAATATGGTTTTAAATTCGCGATGGGATATTATGTATATATATTATAATTGCAATAACCATAATTTCAGCTAATATCGGGAAAATTACGCAAGGAACAATTATATCAATTTTTGGATGTTAATTTGTTCTTATTTTAAGCATTCAAAGCCGCATATATGCGGTGTGTTATAAGTTGGGAGATAATATTTTGTCTTGTATTTTAATGCTGTCATTAACATTACCATAATTCTATGGAATGGTTAAATTGTGTCCGTTTTAATCTTAATTGGATTTTTAAAATGATACTAATTGGTATAGCATTTACACTAAAGATCGACATATACTTTGGAAGCACGCGGTACGTTTGGGTTTCAAAATTTTTCGACTTTGAGAATAAGATGTCAGCGATAGATTCTTGCGCAACCGCACCTCACACCGAAACTTATAAAGTAATCAATTTTAAGTCGCTTTGTTTGCGATAAAATTAGATTATAGATTTAATAGATGCGCTTTTTCTCCAAAAAGGTGTGTCAGTTTCTGCTATATAAAGCCTAAATATTTGAATTAAGCCTAAACAAAACCACCCTAAGATCGTATATACCAGACAAATTGTTTGTTGATACTTAGATTATAAATCCGATTCAATGTGACTTCTATTCATGAGAATGTAGTAATCGTTCAGAAGCTTATCTCTGTATGGAACCATGATCGCTTAATTTCCTCGAATTTATCGATGATCTGGTTTCACGGAGAGCGTGCCGACACACCCATAAACGCCTATTGTAATTTTCCATTTGCTGACGAAATCGATTTTATAGTAAAATTCGAGGTTCATTGCGAAAATTTATTCAAAATGGTACTTGGTTTTTGGGGAGGAATTAGTTCGTGATAAAAAGCCTATAAATCACCTAAATGAATTATTGTTAATTTATACTCTTACCTGTTAAGGGATCGTATAATTCCGGAATGTATACGCCTTCCTCGTTTTCGTCACCGTCTTCATATGCAACTCCGGTTAAAATATCGATAAACTGTTGGCGAGTGACACAGATGAAATCTCCCATGACAGCTTCCATAAAATAATCTGCGGGGCCATAGTCCCTGTATTCTTCCGATGTCATCGGAGGCGGAATACATTCAAGTCCTGTTTCGCAAAGTCCAGTGGCGACTCCACATTTTTCACCCAATTTCTTTGCGCACATTTTGCAACACCCGCAATTGGGCTCTTCAATTACTTCGCAGTTTGGCCCCGGAACGACAGTGGGACATTGTGCTCGATCGGCATCGGTACATTTAGTACATTTTGAAGGTCTGTGAACTGGCGATGCTGCCGTCAATGCACCGGCATCCAAAAATAGAAATATGAGTGCAGCGCTCGAAATAAGTAAGAAATTTGCTTTTGATGTCATAGTAATGCTTGCCATTGCGTGTGATGATTATGCTTCAGTGAACAAGTTTAAAGTTTCAGTTTGATAAATATAATATAGTTTTGTTTAATTAATTATAGAGCTGTAAATATATAAAGCAAAATTTACAATACTGACTAATATTAGAATCGTAGTATTAGTTATATCCTTATTCTCTCTGACTCCATTTGTTGTGCTGCTTCGCCTAAAGACTGAAACTTGCTTCTGACAGTTTATAAAAGTCGTTCGCGAATCTATTTCGATAAATTTCGACCGAGAGTAACTTCAAAATCCGTAAGGTGATAAATGCTTCGGGTTCACGATTGTCCAAACTATCAGTTGGAGGCGTTGTCTGGTGTCACAACTACACTCATTATGAATTATTTCCGAACGAATCAGAATTTCGACATTGACCGGCAATAGCACAGGAGCCATTGAATTAAACCTTTTGAGAAATTGTCGCCAAAATATCATATAATTAAGTTTATTCCCAGGTATTTCAGTGTATTGCTTAGATTGTCATATGGTAGCGTTGATCACCAAAGTTTCGTTTTATCGTACAACTTGACAGTCGGAACCCTCAGCCCTTTATTGTATTTTTATACTAGATCCAAACTGACACTTTCTAGATTTAAGTGTGGGATTGAGTCTCTTCCAACCCATATATATAGGTCGTACGATGACGTAGCGCTTCCATTTTTTCTCACACTAAAATATTAACGCTCACCTTATCATACTTTCTTCTTAGACGAATACAATTTGTGAAAGTCGATTAGCTGGTTACGTGGTTTATCGCATCCGTTAAGGCGACACTTTCACTTCCACACGCACCATCGATCTTGGCTGTAATATTCTGCATGAATGTAAATGGACAATGGACGATTTGTATTGTTTCTCGCATTAGCGGACTGAGAGACACTGTCGAATAGCGTGTGTGACCGCGAAAAAGTATATTGGCGTCAAAACTGAAACTACGTAAAATGAGATTTATAAGCAAATAGAAAATTTCGATAGAACCGGAGAGAAAAGCCCAGCGAGTTTGTGTTTAATAACTTTCGAGCTATGAAGTTCTCCACGATTACGTAGTCCCCTCTCCAATTTATTTTTTTATAATTTTAGATTATTGTGCATGAACAATAACAATGCATTTTATTAGGCTGCAGAATGTATACGAATTACTCTAATAATTTGCAATCTCTAGCGTAAGTCGTCGTTGCAATAATCTCTATTAATTATATGTGAAATTGATCTTCTAATTCACAATTATCGCGCTTGCAGTCGCAGTGTGTTTTTTCTTATATCTATTTGTACACCAGATAAACCACAACGAACGTAACATGCGCTAGATTACACCTCTTGCGGCATCAATATGAGTATTAATCTGTCTGTATGCTACGGCACCGCTAACGTGATCCGGGCGCAAACTTTGTCTACACCAAGTCGCACATGCGTTTCCAGCGAAAAAAGGCCGTGTCATGGAAGATCTATGTCAAACTAGGGGTTATCCATTATCAAAATAGAATTGCTGGTTTTTGCCTGTCCCTCGAACGAGTCAATTGAAGGTTGTTATACATAAAGATATCTATTTACCGACAATAAAGAATGTCTAGTAAATTCCGCAGTATCATTTAATATTCGGATATTAGTTAACATTCAATATTAATTGAGTGAATTTATAAAAAAAAATCGTCGGGTTATAACATTACTCACTGGTCGAGAACAATCTTTCGAAAACTTTAAAAGGATTTGTGACAAAAGAAAATATTCATTCGCGATTATAGAATAAAAAAGAATATGAAAAATATTCGAACTGGTGTGGAGAATTGATAGAAGTTTCTTTGACTTCCTCATGAATTTCGTAGGTGTCATAACAATTTTTATCGTTCATGGATAATAATAGTATATTACACCTACGATAGGTGACGCTCACGCCGTGTATGTATATATGCAGTATTGCACCACTCTTGGTAAATCTTGTGTATTTGATTCAAGTTTTGATTAAACCAGGGAAAGTTTTTGTGAAAACACTAAAAGGAATGAAAGTTGTATTCACCGTGTTGGTATGGTGCGACGGGAATAAAAGAGATGTACTTTAGGAAAGACAATAAAGATGCCACGCTGTTCTTGAAAAATGGCGGGTCGATGAAACTGATCCGAGTGTCACGAGATAATTTTGAATCTAAATGAGTCATCCAAAAATCAGCCCACCCTCGCATACGCCTCTGAAATGCAACCCAGAGTAACCTTTACCCGGAATGCCCGCTCAAATGACCACTGACCTTTGTAAATAGGGCGTCAATCAGCCAGCACTAACCAATGACTAGTCGCGTGAAATGAACTGCGTGACAGCTATGTTTGTAATAAATGAAAGTGCTGACTATCTATCTAGTGTATACCTACGTTCCGTGCAATGCGCACGACACATTATTGAAGTAAGTTATGCAAAGACAATGTGAAAGTTCATTGTCGGTGAAACGATAGTACTCTGAAATAACACAGTCGTTAATGTTCGCTAAAATCATGTCGACTTCCAAATGACGTAACCCACGACGCAGCTCAATTACGTCATTACCTGAAATTGCGCAACTCCTTTTATTCTTGTACAAATGAGACGTCCTTAATTTCCAATAGTTCGAGACAATTTCATAATTCGATGGGTTGTTTGAATATATCATTAGTATCACCTATTGATTCAAATGTAGAATTTCCTAACAAAATTCATTCTTATGTATTTAAGTTTATGCGAAGAACCACACCACCGCACAGACAAATGTGAGGACCCTTTCTTAGACCCTAATGATAAAATACCTATTGTTATGGTGCATTGATGCATGGTGCTGTAACTGTGTTGTGATACTACCGTTTTAGCAAGTTTGGTGGTCCTTTGATACTGTATGTTATAGATGGGTCTTTCATTCTTATCGGTGAGTCATGGCTCTCTGAAGTTGTCTCATATATCGCAAAAAATTCCCCAACTTACCATTAAAATACCTAATGTAGTCTTAGCCTATCCAGCCAAAACAAAAGAATGTGAGGGTTTATGCCATTCATGTTTGCATGCCGGTAACAATGGTGAAACTATGCTGTTATCTTTTAATTTCTCGCGAAGAGGTGTGTTCCAGACTTCCGAACTCCACCCAATGAAATATTAGAGGTGTGAGACTGGCATCGACAGAAATTCGACATGAATATGTTTATACGAGTTGAAAAACTTGAAAGAAATACTTAGCACCTAAACAATATGTAAAAACCTCTAATTAGTAAATAAATGACGCGGTCCGTGTTAATTTGTTGACACATATCTTTCACCTGCAACCAAAATTTTGAACAAATGTAGTTTAACAAGACTTTGAAAATTTTCGTCGTTTGAAACACCGGCAATGAGTCGTGAGCTATAGACCGGTGAAATTACACGTTTCTCACCTCAAATTAATTAATTAACCATTTTTATACTCGGAACTTTATCAGATCACTGTTGCCTAATTTGCCCCAATTTAATGGATCTGTTTTACTTAATTGGCAAATCTGTACACACAGAGGTATAGTTTAAACACTTTTAAGCGCTATATTTGCTAATGTATCAATTACGTGATCGCTCGTCAGTTTACATAAGTGGCGGTTTTTACGCGTTCAAAGAAAAATCGTATTAATTGATTCCCGATGCGAGTAAATGGACCTTGCTTCCTAAAACGAATTATTTCTTATCTTAAGAAGTCCTTGAAAATTCAAGTAAAACAAAGCTAGACATCTGTGGTCTATGTATGACTCAGTGGGATATGACACCCAGAGGATTACTCGACATATCAGCTCGTTTCAGTACCTTACGATTCGCATGTTGTACTAGTGACTTATCTGAAAAAAGCTGCAACGTAGTCGTTGTAACGTTGGCAGAAATATGACTTTTATTTCATGTCACGGGGCTTACCTTTATCGAATGATACTCAAGGGAATTTTAGGATAACGAGATATGTGTTTCGAAATTGCGACACAAAGAATAACACCTTAACGTTCATAATTTTGTTATATAAACCATCACCCGCCAAGTTAGTTTATTCAAAAGCCTTACACACAAATATATATTTCAATAATATTTTCTTTGTTTGATACTGCTTTAAAATTTTAAACAATTATTTCGCTCAAAATGCTGAACACGATTAGATCCGAAATTTTGTCAACCTTTTAGGGAAATCTGAATTTGCGCCATCGGACAGAAACCCCACAAAAAAAATTAAAAAGTGTCAGACATCACGTTTTAAGAATCACAGGTTAATATTTTCATTTGAATTATATATTTGTAACTGTGGGGATTTTCCCCGTCATATCCTGCCAGTCATCTTGTCTGATTTTAGTCATTCTGGTTCAACGACATCTCCACCAAACTATATGTATGTATCATGGGTATGGGCACGTACAAAAAATTATGAGTGTTAACGTGGGGAATTTCTTGCTAAGTTACATTCAATTATGAGTTTCGGACAGGGTGGATAAGAGCATTGCTTTTGCTTACATTTTGCATACAATCTTAATCACTGTATACTGCGCTGTGAAATTTACCAAGTTTTATTACTCACTATTGAATAGCATGCATTTAATATCTGTGTATATATATTTTTGTTCCCAGAGAATAGCATTCGTCTGAGACAAAGTGTCAATGAATTATAATGAGTTGGATTGGACGAACTATGTATTTCCATATTACTGTCGCTGTTTCATAGCGAGCGCCATTTTGTAATTATGATTTGATGTAAACTTTTTCAAGACATTCTTTTCAGCGAAAAGTCTGAAAGATCGCAATACATCCGAAAAGAAAATGGTCGACAGTGTAATCTTAGAAAATTGATCCCATTTATCCGATTCGTGACGTCATTAAAATGTTAAATATGTTTCGCAGCGGATTTCAGTGGAATTGGTGATAACGATGTTCTAGCGAAATTGGAACGAATGCGATAGATTCGAATGAATGTGGTTAATAGCGATCAATTTAATTCACATTCGTTTAATACGATGAAATATATATATTCTTCGTGCTTTTTATTTTTTAAACTAAAAGTAATTGCACGTAAACCAGATGAAAATGTGCTACTATAAATATTCATCATCATGTCTACCGGTGTTTAAACATTAAACGATTGCTATAAAATTCGGAATGTTCTACTAATGATATTTTGGGTAAACTCTTTTTTACATACGGCGCCTTTTGCTTCGAGCAAGACTCTGTACTAGCAATCGTTGTTATTTAACAAAATGGAAGGATCTACTATATATTTGGAAAGACGCAATCTTTCCGGTTCGTCATTAATCCATTACAAGTTGAGCGAGGTGGGGCATAGGTATTGAACCCAAGGCGTGTAAATTTGATAATGAAGTTTAAAGCTATTCGAACATCGTGGAAAAATTTATAACATAGTAAAGAGTAGTTCAAAGGGCACTCCAGAAGTATGTGTACAAATATGGCGGTAACTAATATTGTTTGCCTACTTTACATCAAGTTGTGTAAAGGCATGGAAGCCTATGGGCAGGGGGTATATTCATTTGGCTAACAAAAACAGTCCCCGAACTCGTAGTAGAACTAAGATA